AGGTGGGGTGGGGCGTGGCGGGGCGCAGAGATGAGGACAGCGCCGTTGGTTAATGTGGAGTAATGAAGGTGGGAAGGCCTAACACGGCGAGCGCGGCCCAAAGGCCAAAAAGCCTTCGAGGAAATCCATTACCGAGGTAATTGCATCCGACTCGTGGGAAAGTATGTACGGAGGCTTCGAGTGTAGGAGGACCGGTGGGGGGAGGGGGGATCGAAAACGAGACAGGGGACATGGATATGGACCGAGGAGAAGCAGTGGCTCGTGGCTCGACAGCGGGTCGCCGTCGCTGGCTGTGAGCGCCTGGAGAGTAGGCAAGCAGCGTCCAGCCCCGCACGGCTGTGCGCGCGTTGCCTACCTCGCAGGCGCCCTCACCCGCTCTCGCCGCTCCAGCAGCAGCGGGGTCAGGAGCGAGGGGCACTCACTTGGGGACCTGCCAGTCCATGCCCGGTAGGTAGGGCCAGTAGTCCGCGAGGTCCTTGGCTAGCAGCGCCACCGGCATGCCGTGCGCCGAGCCGGACGGCGAGGTGGCGGGCGTGTTGAGATCGGCGTGGGCGTCCACCTGCAACCAGCGAGCGACGTCTAGCTCATGCCGAAAATGTAAAGGCGGAAGAGGGAGGTACTTTCCCAGCAATCGACTTATCGCGATATGTTCCTCAACTTCGGTGATTTGTACTAAACTGTACTTACCCAGATGACGGCGACGTCTTCGTGCGCGTTGACGGTGGCGTCGACGGTGCCGATGGTCACCGAGTGGTCCCCGCCCAGCGCCAGGCAGATGCGGCCCTCAGACTGGATGCGGCGCGCCAGCTGCGAGACCTGGCAGCGAGAGTACAGGCAGCTGAGATGATTTCCACAAACGACTGGGGCTGGATCTCTTTTTATTCGCCCCCTCGCCATAGTTCACGTGCGCTGAACCGCGCGGGTAACACAAACACAGCCCGCAGCCCGCCCACACGCCAGGCATCCGCCCCCGCCACAGGCCGAGAGCGCGAAGTTGAATGAAAAAGAGAACATGAAGCTTCAACACGAAGTTTGATGGCGCAGGCTGGGCGGATACCAACTTGGAGGCCGCCCATACCATCGTATCCCTGCGGCCCGGCCCTCGCGCAGGTATAGAGCTGGGGACGATGCGGAGCCGCATGCAGGCAGAAAGCAGCGGCAGCCAGCAGCAGCCACCAACAACTTGACGAGATTTTTAAGCTAAAAATAAATTGCTCTTTCCAGGAGGAAGAAGAGCGCCCTGCCTGTCGTGTGTAGCGCGGGCCGGGACGAAAGTCGCCTGCGTCGCAACAACTCGAGGGGCGCACACTCCAGTCGCTGCTACACGGGCACGCACACAAAGTAACACACGTTCACACACACTTACTCTGTCTCTCTCTTACACACAGTCACACACTCACACAGTCACACACACACACAGAGTCAAACACACACACTCACACACAAGCACACGCACGCACCGAGGCCGACGACCGCCCTGAGTTCGATTGCCTCCCCTTCTAAACGACTGCGGGAGGACAGAACCATTTGCCGCCGGCCGGACGGCGTCGTTTCAAATGAGAAATATTTTTGCCATATCCATAAATTTGTCTTGAGGTTCGCTTTCGTCCTCCAAAACACCAGCTAATAGCCCCCCCCCCCTTCTCCCTTCCTTCCCCTCCAGTCCTCTGGTCCCCGCTCCACTTGTCTTCCACCTTAGTGTGCGCGGCCTTCGAGCACCTCCTCCCCTCCCCTCCCCCCGCGCTCCGGAAACAGCCCTCTCCCCTCCTCCCGGTTCCACTCACTCCACTTTCGCCTCAGTTAAGCCTCCCCTATTCCCTGTGATCAGCATCTCGTTCACTTCAATTAAACCGACCCTTCTCCCTGCTTCTCTTACGCGGCGTATCTCGCGATGTAAACAATAACAGTGACCAGCCAGCCGGACAAAAGGAAGAATAAATTGGAGGAGGGAGAGGGCGTTAAGTAAGGGAGGAGGGGCGTTGTCCGGGAACAGCCCGGGCGGCGTTGGGGCTACTTCCGCGTATGCTCCGCAGAATATCAATAAGGTGTCCCGGAAATGATGGAGCGCTCGACGCCGTCGACGCCCGCATCTCTCCGTTTTAAATTTATTAATTTATGATTCCGGGGAAGGTAACGGAGTGAATGCGGACGAGATTTCGACGCCCCGCCCTTGCTACTCGTGGCTCCGATATACCCCCGACCATCTCCGATATTCTCCACCCCCAATTCAACTCTGTCCTTTTTTTCCCCCCTCAGCTCTCGCTCTCGAAACGCAATTGGAGCGTCTGAAAAGTATCGGGGGACGCGAAAGGAAACACACATCGATTGATGACGGTGGAGAAATAACGAACCCGCCTTGGCCTCGGCTCCGCTCGGCTCGCCTGGGGGGATCCTCCTCGCTGCGACCCGCTATGGGGCTGGAGAGCCAGAGCCGCTGGCTGCGCCTGGCCTGCATGGCGACTTCCCGTTCCGCCACTCGCTCGCGTTTGCCAACAACAACGCACCGAGCGAGGGGGAAAGGAGGGGGTGGGG